GGGCTGGCTGGCATGTGGTGCTCGGGGATTGAACAGTGGTCCCTGTGCTTTGCTGAGCTTGTTCTAAGTAGGTGCTTTAGACCACTGAGCCATCTCACCAGCCCCTCCAAGTGAACTCTTAATACAATGTTGAAATGATATTTTTGGCATTTTGAGACAAAATAATTGCATCTCTTGCTTTTACTTTTTCTGTGGCTACTACATAATTTTTAATTATGTTATTTGCATATTTCTATTGGACAGCACCATGTGGTCATGCTAAAATGCAATCACTTTTTGAAATATTTACTAACCTGTCAAGTGAAAAACTGTATGTCATGTTTTTATTAATCATTTATATTTCTTCTCAGATAAAATGCCTGTTCTTATTCCCTTGTATTTTTTAATGGACTTTGACTTTCAACCGATTTTTAACTATTTATACTATGAATATTAATTCTTTTTGTTTCATGTTAAAAAAAAAAACTATGAGATTTGAATCCTGATTGAATTTGCACCTCTTTGAACATACTAGTAGATGAGACGTTTTCTCAGAGATAATGACTTTTACATTGTCTCTGAAGTACTTGTTATTTAGCTAACAAGGTAGAAGGGTAAAGTTAAACAGCATTCAGCAGACGAAGAAATTCGTGTTTGAATCAAGATAAATGGCAAATATGGTGAACAATAGTAGGTCCTTTTAGGAATTAAGGTGCAGAAAAGGAAATGAGTAGAATCATGCAAAAGAGCAGGTCACACAGACCCCTATGTACTCAGCCAAGGACTATAAATTACCTTGAAAAATATTCAAACATACTATGGATGTTTGTATGTCAAAGGATCAATAGATATTTAGATAGGTTCTTTATCACCAGGGAGAGAAAAAGCCATCAGGGCAATGCATGTTGCTAGTAGAAATGCTCTGAATAAAAGCAGTCACAGGAAAATGTTCAAAAAAATAGTTTCCTTTTTCATCTAAGAAAAACTTCTTAAAATGCAAAATTTGGATTTTTAATTATTCCATAACTTAAATCTACACTGTTCAATATAATAGTCATAACAAAATAAGAATTAACTAATTTAAGAAACCCTATCTTTTCTTAGTTTCTGCTATGATTTGGATGTGGTTTATCTAACATAGCTTCATGTGTCAGAGATTTGGCCTCTAATTTGGTGGTGGTAGGGCCTAATATTGGGTGGCTAATCACTCAAAGGGATTAATGCTGGTCTCTGAAAGTGAGTTAGCTCTCACAGAGTGATTATAAAGGAAGACTAGTCCCTCTACAGCACTTGGCCCCTTCTGCATACAGCTGTCTCCCTCACAGTTTCTTAACCATTACAATAGCAGCCAAAATGCCCTCATCAGAGATGAACTGTGAATTACCAGTTCTCAGTGTCAGAGGTTTCTTCTCTGAAGACCCCTAATCATATTCTTAAATTCATACTTCAGTGCAAATTTTAGTTCTAAATAGGTTTTCTATGATCACACAATCTAAAGTAGTTTCCTATTCAAATTTACATTCTATTCAACTATTTTGCTCCTTAATTTTCTCCAAATCATATATACCATTCAAATCAGAAAATCTTTCATTCAATGACTATCTCTGCCACTTATAGCATAAGTTAAATTAAAATTTAGGGAGTTTTTATTAAAACAGAAACAAACCTTAGGTCATCTCATTAGCGCTATCAAAATGTACTCATAAAAGCATTATCTTTATAAAAGATACAGATAAAACAGAATACATGTTCACAAAATACAACCATATAGAATGCCTTATTTTATATCAACAGTAGACTTAAACAGAAAAGATACCTTTTCCTCTAATTTTGCTTTTCATCATGGTATGAATTTGCTGCTTATTAAATGAAATTATATCATTATAAGATCCTGTTATACTGCAGGTAGTCACTGAATTTAACTTTTAATTTTTCCAGTCTCTTGGACAGAGACTGACAAATGTGCGGAATTGTGAAACTGTCTGTAATGTGTATTCAATTAGGCTGAATCTACTAAATACATTTCAACTTTAATCTGAGTGAAAGATTAAACCAATATTTCTAAAGATACATTTTGTAAAGCCATGTGCTAGCTATCATACTATATGAGGCAAGTAAATTGGCATCATCCAAAGATTGACATTAACATTTTGAAACTTTAGTGAAATTTCCTTTATATCACTTCTTACCTGTATTATTACATTTCTCCTGATTATTTTGGTTCTAATCTTGCCTCACTTCAATCCATCCTATACTTTCATTAAATGTTAACAAACCTGACTGCTTTACTCCACTACCTAAATTTTTTTCAATGGCTCATACTACTTATCCAATAAAGTATGAACTGCTTAAGAAAGCACTCTATAATCAAGTTTCTACCTAATTATCTAGCTTTAGCAATACTGTTTCCTTAGACTCTGGTGTCATTAATTAGAACTTGTAATTCTTTAAATGAAACATGTATTGTCTGAACTGCACATCTTTCTTTGTACATACT